TTCATCTATTCACGTCAGGTTTGATGCCTAAGAAGTAGATTTTTGAACATGAAAAAGGGAAGCAGTATTCTCATTATCCACTTCCATGATTTGAACTTATGGTTGGACTGTATCATTAGAATTACTATTAGACATGCGTTAATTTTCTAATGCCTGAGCTTAAAGATGCTAGAGTATTATAATAATTATAATGACGGCTCAGTAGTCCTTTTCCATTAAGTTAGAAATACAGAGCGGATGCTACATACTGACAGGGAAAAAAGGTCTAGAAAAAAAAAAAAGATCCCAAAAGTAGCCAACGATTATTTTACCAAATCTAAAATTTTAGAAATCAGTTTAAAATGGTTTTTCTTTTCTTAAATGTAAAAATAACATGCTAGTGTTTTCTGGAAGGATCATTTTCGGCTGAACACAACTTTAAAAACTAATAAGACTCCACAAAGTCCCAGTGAGAAAAGTAACCTTCAGCCCACAGACCTCCATGAAAACCACAATCCACGCAAGTTGTTCTTAAACTTGGCCTTTTGTACAGGTAAAGCAAACAAAGCGTACAGAGTTACCTTTGATCAGAGCTACGCCGTTTCCCTGTTTACACTCAGTTTGCTAAGCTAACAGTCTGCGGGTTGTAACATATTTATGTAAGAGTGCTATCAGGAAGCAGAATTCCCCAAAATGTCAAAGCATTCCTTTAAAGTTCCATCCCCGCGATGCTGGCTTGCGTGTCGGAGCAGTCCTTCACAATGCACGGGTGCTTGTCGGGGAACACCTGATGAACACCGTTGGGTCAAACAATATGAAATGGGCCAGTCTAGAAAAACAGTTTTATTGATTTTATTAACAACTGTACATTTCTTTTCAGTGCCGACAGCATTTGCTACATACTTTGGTGTTACTCAGAGGGGACTGGTGCATTTCACCCCATTCATAATTTCTTGTGGGAAATGCTGACAAGAACCAAGAGCACAGTTTGAATTTTACACCACCTTGATTCACTAACTTGAGTTTTTCTGTTGTTTATATTTAAGTGCCATTACCACCTCCTCATTCTTCTTCTTTTTATTATTAACAAGCATCTACAGGCATCGAGCACGTCTGTAGAGACGGACCGATCCGCGCAGTCAGTCGGGTCAAATGTCTGCCTGTCTCCCCGTCACGGCCAAACAAACACGTTCCAGGAATATTGATAAGATACAAAGGGCAGAGTAATTCCAATAGCACAGATTGGACTGTTTGAGTTTGGTCTGTAGCCAGGAAATCAATGGAGCAATTCAACATCCACATTACGTCAAGTTAGCAAAAAGCACATTGTCATTCAGTTTGTGCCCGTCGCTGTGCTTCTGCTGCCAACTGAGGTCCAAGGGTTAGGCTAAGCTTAAATGTTTCTCCATCTCCCTTAAACTAACAAGGTAAAACAAACAGGGGAGAGATAGCACAGACAGAGCAGCACACTTAGTACACTTTAAAAAGAATTTCTATATATATATATGAATGAAATTTACATCCATGTCTTTTCACGAATCATAGTGCACCGTTCGATCCCACAGTAGTCCAAAGCAGCCGAAGCTCCATCTCACACAGAAACCGTGATTTTTTTTGTCCGGTAAGAGCACTGTGACAAAAAGGCCATTTAAAAAAAAAAAAAAAAAAAAAAAATCTACAAGTTTGGTGCTCCTCTGATTTCCAAAAAAAGATCAGCCTGCAGAATGTGCTTTAAGAAAAACAAAGCGCAAAACTGTTAAAAAGTTCTCATGTCCCACTCAAATATCAAACAGAGTGGGAGGGGGAGAAAAAAA